AGGCCTTCCGCATAGCCCTTAAAACCTGGCTGTTCCGACAGGCCTGGGGCTAAAGACTCGCCGCCCCACCCGAATGATATGATTGTTGTGTTTTTTAACAATGTATGGTTCTTCTATGTTTTTTTGTAATTTTGTTTGTTTTTTCCCTCCCTCTGAGTTGTGAGCCTCCCTGAGTCCCTTTCAGGGAAAAGGGTGGCATACAAATAAAATTAAAATCAAAAAATCAAAAATTAATTACAGTCCTTGAAATGATTTGGGCCTTTTCCCCCATTAGCCTCAGCCAGCAAAGAATACAGGAATTATTGACTATCTCTTTTTAAACTGTTGAACGTGTGCAATCAGACATGCCTTCTGGCATCAATATTAGAACATATCTTCTATTATTATAGAACTAGAGACTTATGAATAGAATTAGCTTAGGAGATAGTTTAGGGTTACTGAAATAAAACAGTGTGGCCCTACTTTAATCCTTTAGTTTGGAATATAAAACACCCAATACACCCATGTCGTCATCATCACCATCATCATCAAATTATCAAAGCTTCAATCACCCTCATTAAAAAGCCTGGGAAAAGAGCCAGGTCTTCAGGGCCCTTCAAAACAATGGTAGGATGGGAGCTATTTGAAACTCAGGAGACTCATTCCGGAGAGCCAGCACTGCTACAGAGAAGGCGTGCTTCTGAAACCCCAGTTGATGGTATTGCTTTATTGAAGGAACTGGCTCAGATCAGCCAGGCAGATATTTTTGCTAGAGAAAGTGTGCAACATGTATATAATAATATTTATACATTGTAGTTATGAGTAGTTGCAGACATTTCCAAAAAATATTTTACACCTCACATGGAGAAAAATTATTTTTTTAGTTATTTAAGTACTAAATGTAACACAATTTCAATTCTTTTTGCTTCTGGTCTTTGAAAGATGAACAAGAACAAAAAGAATGTGAAAATCATAATGAAAGGCTGATTTCTCAGAAGTTAAAATTTTGTTGAAATGTTGTTGTTCACCATCACTACGTTGTACTTGCAGCTGCAATAATGGTGAGTTGCAACATACAGTATATTTAAAAGCCTTAGAGTCAGACCATGATGATTTGCTGCTCTTTTATCTCATTTTTCTTTCATATTGTTCATTTAAAAATTAGAGGTCAGTGCATTGATCTGTAAGTTCAAAATTGTTTGTGGTGATTGGCAGCAGTTCTGTAATTCTCAAATAGCAGGGTTTTTTTAAAAAAATCAATCCTACCTAGAGATATTAGGGATTAAGCTTGAAACATTTTGTGACCTTTTCTCCTAAAGTACAGTACTTTGNATTGCTATTGCTATTGCTATTGCTATTGCTAATGACATTGTCAAATTTTAAAAGAAACCAAAGCACACAGCCAGGTAAAACAGGGATCTGAAATATTACTAAACAATACCCTGGACTTATTACTGTTGGTGACTTGGAATTAGGGGGTCCAATGCCGGTAGGAAGAAACCGGGAGTGAGTATCTGCCGGCATTACTGCTGGTTCGGTGCGGAAGTGATTTTGCGCACATGAAGTTTCCTATAAATAGGTCTGCGCATGCGCAAAAGATTTTAAAAGGTGGGGGGGGGAAGATGTTGCAGAGACCGGGAAACTGGTTCGGGGGCATGGCAAACACATCATCCCTACCGGTTAGGAGACCCAAGTCGCCATTTCCACTACCGGAACCCAATCAGCTGGAGTTAGTTCTGATTCCAGATGAGTTGTTTTTAAAAAAATAAGTTCTACAATTTAAAAAAGAATTCATAGCCAGGTAAAATCTTCAAGGAGGTGCAAGCATCAAAGACAGCAAGACCCAGATCTGCCAAACCCAGTCTCAAGCACTTAAAAAAACAGCTGAGATTAAAACTCAACGAGAGCCACCAGACGCAAAAAATAATAATAATAATAATCATACTGTATATACAACACAATGTTAACTACCGTGAATTTACAGGCCTTGATATCCTACTTCTATTTTAGATAGTTTGCTATTTGTCCTGCAATTAAGCTAGAAACCAGATTACATCCTTGGAAAAGAAGGCTATGTGGTCCTTTTTCTACACATCCTCCCCCATACCCGAAACCATGAATACAGAGCTTCCAGTGGTGGAGTTTCGCTTTGATGCTCTCTTCTCTTCATTAAACAGCCCATCAGAACCAATATTCCGAAACAAAGATGTGCACGTTGACAACATTACGATGTGAGACAACCCCTCCGACGACGTAGTTCATCTCCAACTTCAGGGTGGCGTAGAAAGGACCAATGATAGGTTTCACTTGCCGAACAACCCCTGTGAGTGGAGAGACAGCAAGGACAGAAGCAAGAATTAGCATTGACATTTTTCATCCCTGTGACACAAGGAGCATTGCTTTGGTTCCTTTGGCTAGACCAGGGATGGCATGCGCGTGGAACAATTTACATTGAATAGCGCACGCGCATTGCACGCGGTGCCGTATAAAAAAACTAGGACAGCTGACAAAGCCAGGAAAAAAGTAATTGGGAGGTAGAAATTTTTAAAGCCAAGAATGTTCTTTCTATTAACTCGGGGCAACTGTATCAAAGTTTTACTTTGCAGGAATTAGTGGTGTTGCCTGAATACAGGTGGCATTAGAGAATTAGGCACAGCTAAGGGGGGGAAAGCCTTCTAATACCCTGGGCTTTAATAAAACCTTTTTTTTACAGGCAGGAAATGAATTCTTCCCTGACAGCTGGTTAAAGAAAGAGAGAGAGGGAGAGAAAGAAGCTGAATAGCCTTCTAGTTGAAAGTCTGTAAAAAGGCTTAAAGAGAACAAGCGGAGGCTTTAGTTCTGTTTACCCTTTCTCCTGGATCAGCTGTGACACTCCAGGCGGAGATGCGGAAAAAATGGCTCGCTTAATTTGTGTTCTGACCAAGGCTTCCTCAAAAAGCACGAGACAGAGTCCTGGTCCCGACAAAACCCCTTTTATTAAACGAATGTGAATTCCTCTCATTCACATTCAGCCAAGGCCTGGAAAACAGTCTTTCAAAGGAATATTTATGACTACAGACCTTATCTAGCTTGGAAAGCGGCCATGTAAATATTGTCCTGTGCAAGGAAAGGCTGGGCACAGAGTCTCTGAGATTCACGGACAGATCTTCACACTCCTGGAACGAATCTAACGACCGGACGAATTGTTTTCTGCAAAAGCCCCCTCCCCTTTCGCTCCTCTTTTATTTCCTACGGGAGGGGCCATTCACCGTCCACCTGTGGCCTTACTTCCAAATCGGCCCTGCTTTCTGAGCTGTTCTTTTCTTCTGGCAGTTCTGCGCATGCGCCCACTGGGAACAGGCTCCAGCTGTTCCTC